CTTCAAGTATGTGGTATTGTAAATGTCAGTTGTCAAGTAAGCCGCCTCAGAAAAAAGTCTGATAAATCAACTTGACCCCTTTTATTCAGATTTGGCTGCTGTAACGACGCAAAACAGTTTATGCACTTGAGCAAAAATGTTAGCTCATCTGTCTGTACTAAGACATAAAAGTTACTCCAGATCTAACATCTTGTAATCGTCGTAGAAAAAGACCGGGAGTGACAAGATCCATGACTGTGTCTCAACAGACTATCTACTGGAGACAACTCCGAACACATACATAAATCGCCCTATAGATCTTGATCAGCCAATGGACTCTAAACTTTTAAGTAAAGTACGTATCCGGACTGTCATAGAGAAGTCTAACGACACCTGAATTTTCAATCCAGGCTGTTAAATCGCTTCAACAGATGATTTTTAATCCCACATCCTGTCCTTAATAACCAGGCTTTTATGAGCAAAAACCATCAGATTGAAAACTCGATACATTCTACCTCATCAAGCCAGCTGTTAAAATTTAAAAAGGTCATAACAACTGTCTAACCATAGTTACGAATTGCACCACTAAGATTATACTAAAAGCAGTGGTGCACTGCACTGCTAGTTGATTCAAAATTGTTTTGCGATACAGCCACTTGTTGTACCTACGGAGCGACATTTAGCTCAAGTCATTTTAAACCAAATTAACGGTATAAAATCACTCACCCTCCACACACTCTCAAACAGGCAATTTTCTCACACATCCCTTCTGGACAAAAACCCCTCCTAGAAGCTTCAATAACTTATTTAACATATCCTTACATATCATACCATACCCATGTAGATCTCCATAACTCCTCAACTATTTCATCTTAGCGGGACATTTTTTTAACATATGTCTTATCATCGCTCATTCGATTCGTAATAAAAAGACAGATTTAGTCATGTTTGCGACTATTTACAAACCATCACTTATAATGATAACTGAGGTATGGACCACCAGTAATAATTCTGATCTAAATATATCTCTTGAAAACTATGACCTATTTCTAAGTAATAGGTTACAAGAACGAGGTAGAGGATACCTCATATATTCCCACTTTAGCCTAAACTCACTCTAATGTAATATATAGGAACTAAACAAATTACAAGATTCTGTACGGATCGTTCTGAAACCCTAAAATGCAGCTTCCTTACTGTTCGTTTGTATTTATCTTCAGCCCGATGTACCGACGAGGTATATATCGAAATTGTCAAAAGTATTCATTTTTGCTTCATCCCTATCGTTTATAGGCAAGGCTATTTATGGGAACTCCAACAGACCTCAAATCTCTTGGTTCCTAATCAAAGCACCTAAACGATTTGAACCAATTATTGAATGCTTAGAATATGGAGTGGACTCAATCTGTTGAAGGCCCAACCAGACATCAAAATATATTTTAGATTTCACCAGCCATCTCATTCTTGATATTGTATATGTTGGAAAAAAGTTTCCAGGTAGCGATCATAATATTGTCATACGCAGTGTTGGTATATAAGCCACAACTATAAAACGCAATTCCATTACACTTTGTTTGGACCTCGGTAAGACTGATTGAGCGAACTTCCGGAATTGCCTCAGAAGCATTGACTGAACTATCAAGGTTATCGTAAACCATACCGACGAACTAATATATGTAATTTATCGTAACACAAACAATATCTTCAATAAAATCGCACCTTCAGGATCCTGGAGATGCAGAATTTATAAGGACTTATATATGCCAGGTCATATACGAAAATGTCTCCGAAGACATGTTTCTAGACTTCATAACCGTAATGACTTCTCATAAGTTACGATGACAGAAATATGTGTCGAGGCAAAGGTACTACGTAATAGAAAGACGACTGAACTGTTCAGCTGAATAATGAATCTTCTGCACTTATTAAAATCCTTCGAAATCAACATAAATGCTCTAGAAGTGAGAGGAGTGAGCGTACTTATTATTGACAGCTGAGTGTATGAAGACACTAAATGTATGGCAGAGCTCTTAGCGGTTATTTTTGCGTTTCAATAACTAACGGAAACCCAGAAATATAATTACACTTGACCTCAATGCACTCCTGTGAAGTTATCAACGTAGACTTCAGTGTACAGAACATTTCTAACACGATTAGCACACATAAACACTCTTTCATTGAAGGGCCAGACGGTATCCTAGCCAGAATGCTGGAAAATGGGGGCGCTGAACTTTGTGTTAATTTTCTTAAACTATTTACTGAATCTTTTTCTGCAGAACCTTATCCAAATAACTTAAAGGCAACACATATCATCCCCTCAATTTAATCTGGGACCACAGCGAATGCTCAAAATTACCGACCCTTGAACATAGCCTCAGTAGTATCCAGGGTTATGGAGAAAGCAGTAAAGGCGACTTACTAGGAGTCATTCAAGAGGAGACCTGACATATTTTTAGAGACTCAGGAAAAAATCCCGGTATAAGTTATTAATATCCACCGTAAATATATATGGAACCCCGTTGGGTGGAAGCTTCTTTTATTCCGTCCCTAACCGTTTGAACCACCAGAACATTTGAATTTAATTATGAGATCTCCGACCTGGAAACGTGATAGCTTTTGGTATTCGGAAACTCTACTTTCTTGACACAAACTAACTGATTCAAATCACGGGATATACAAACTTACAAACAACTGCCGGCTGATTAGAACTAGCGCAGTCAAGTAACTGGACCCTCATCCACTGGAAACTCGCGAATATCCATAGCCGTATAAAAAGAACAAGAATCTATCGAAAAGAAACTAACTATTTATACTAGCTCGATAAGAAGTTAATTGAAATCAGAGACAAACCAGCAAGTGCCTCTATAGCAACGTAAGAGGACTAAGGGGTAAGCTGTTAGAAGTCAGGAATATGCGCTCTCAGATGGGTCTGAAGATCATAATCCTAACAGAAACATGGCTATCCCCCGA